AAGAGAAAAAGGAAGAGAAAAAGGAAGAGAAAAAGGAAGAGAAAAAGAAATTTAGGACCAGCACTTACCTCTCAGTCATGTGCCTGCTGCAGTTATCAGAGTGAAAAAGGCACCTTGCTCCAGTTTACATACATGAAATCTCCTGAACAAGCATTCTACATCACAGTGAAAACGAACCACCACTTACAAAGAGCCAATTCAAGGTATTCACAGTGTTAGAGGACAAAATCTGACATTCAATGTCAATTCCTGCTTGAAACACCTTGTGATAATGAGCGCATATCAAGACCATTCAGCGTTGCACTGTTAACACCTGCCCCACTGGTTTTCTACTGGAAAGTCCCAGCAAACATGCTCTTCCCACCACAGTCATTTCACTGTGCTCGTTTCCATGATCAAGAAAAACAAGGACAGAAATAAGATATTCCATTTACTACGTATTTCCTCCCTTACAAGCAACTTCCATAAAACAGTGTGTGTAAAACTCTAATTCAGCACCATCCTCAAGGCCTCAGAGTACAAGTGAGATATAAAATAATAATAAAAATCTGTCTTTACAATGATCACCTAAAGAGATCAGTATTTTAAAGACTTGATGAGATCTTCCCAGTTAGGGAGCTGTCAATGCATTATCTTCTTCCTGATGGCTGTACACTGCAATGCTCAGAAGCAGACATTTTAATTCTCTTTAGTTTGTAGAATTTTCTCTCCAGGAGCATAAACAGCACATGATTTAGAAGTAATAAAATAGCTTGTGTACATGCCATGGTATTTAACCACCTCACCAATTAAAATATCTAAAACAACTACCTCCTGATGAACAAGAATAAAGATACAGAAACGTTTAGTCATTCACAGGATGAAAGCCTCACAGTAAATATTTAGAATTTGTATTATAATCATTAAAATAGCTTATTATCAATCAATTATATCCATTTTCTTCTTCACTTGCAAGAGACCCCACACAACTTGCTATGTCTTCACGCTTGTTTAGTTGGGCAATTTTATTGGTCAGAAAGATCCTCCGGACTTTTTCCTGGTGAAATTAAAGGAATTTTCATTGAATGTAATTGCACAGAATTAACCTAGACCTAAACCATCCCTTCTCAGTTCTCCTTCCACTGATTTTTTTTCATTGAATTCATGGTATTGCAGCAACCCATTAGATTTGTTCCTGCTCTGGAGGGGAATTGGACTAGATGACCCTCCCAATCCCTGACATTTTGATTCTGTGCAATTTAACTACTTTTATTTTTAATGTTTTTGACTTAGCTATTTCAACTGAACTGACTGCTTTTCAAAAGCAGAAAGTCTGGTAAAACACGCTTCAGCTTCGATGAAATATTTGTCAGGAGCTTTCTTTCAGGTCCATGAAATTTAAGATCAGAAGAAAGCAGAAAGACAGATCAAGCTTTTGTAAGTAGACAGCCAGATCAGTCATACATAAAACCACTACTTTGAGTCTCTTGATTAGTGCCATGGACACCTCCCCTTGTTTTATTCCCAAGTTTCTTGTGGCTTAAAAACTTCTCTTTCTCCTCACTGAGCACAAAACCAGACCAGGACCTTAAGAAATGTCACAGATAGGAAAACCCAGACCCCTCTCACCTTTAACTACGTGTTTTCAGCACATTATACACTCACAGAGGGGGCTGCTAAATCCAACATTTCCACATGTTTCACTCTGAGGATGCTCCTCCTGTGCTCCTCCAAAAAGAAGTCAGATCAAAACCTGGCTCTGATTGACAATTCAATTGGGGTATCCCAATCACCATTCATCTTGACAACATAAGACAACATTGATAGAAACAAAAAATGACACAACTGCCATTTCCATGCAAGGTCCAGTGTATCACAAACTTAGCCATTAAACATACAAGTTTCCAAAACCTACTTCATGCAGAACATGCTTTGACAAACTACAGATAGTGGGAGGGACATAAAGATATTACCACAATACTCATGAAATGCAATTATTGAAAAATCTCTATCCTTCACAAGTGATGGAAGGCAAATGTTTTGCATATTGGAACTGGACTGATACTGCTCCAAATCTTATTTTATGCTTAAAAAAACATCGAAGTACATTATTTTAAAGGAGAAGTTAAAATATTTCTTACACAGCTTTACTTGGAAATTAACAGAGCCTTGGAAACTTTAAAGACGTGAGCAAAAATCCAAAAATACGGCTGCATTCAACTAGGTCCATATTAAACACATGCTGAATTTTAAGAAAAACTTTCCATGATTGTTTAAAGCCCTGTGAGCAACAGAAAATTATCAGACCTACCATCATCGCACTAAATCAAAAAATGGCATGGGACTGCATAGCCTGAGCTTTACATTTTGGCTTTCTCTCCTTAAATGTCTGCTTTCTTAAATCACACTTTGATAGC